CTTCATAAATCTTAAGTGTTATAGTTCTGAAGCTGATCTTCGCTTTTTAAATATCATTTTACAAAGCTTAAATAAATTGTTGCTCAAGTTCATATGAATATTAGCTAACACCATATAATATCACATCTAAAACATGAATTAAAGAAAGGCTGAAACCGTCAACCTTTTGAAGAAAAGTAGCAAAGTACTTTTGTTTATGCAGTACACAATCAATCACATCTGCTGACCATTTCATGAAAACATAAACAATGTTTAAGTATATGGATGGAATTATACTGTTGTAGGGACAGACAAAGCAAGGCACCTAAGATAGCAGTGAAGATAGGGAAACAGTCCTATTTGGTTGCAACCGGATTCAGAGGGCACCGCTTCTGTTGTAATCAATCAATACCCTGAACCCCAAGTTTAGGTAGTTTCAGAATTTTGCATCCAGCATGTAAGGGGAGGGGCTCAGAAGTTCAGTCTGCAGAAGTTCACAAAAGGCAGTTTTTGTCTCTGTTTTTTCCTCTGTTCTGGGCAAGTTAACTTTTCAAGGACACTTGGGAGGGGGAAAGTTTTTTTTTTCTTTTTTTCCTCCCCCTGCCAGCCAGCTGTTCCCTTGAAGCCCAGTTGGTAACTTCCTTATCTTAGAAATGTAGCCATCTCTGTGAAGCCCAGCTCCAGGCCAGAGGCCTTGTTCACAAATTTTGTGAAAAACTAGTAAGGGGGTGTCGAGCTTAGGGGTGCTGACTTTTCCAGCCAGTGGCCAAGTAGAACAGGGCAACACGAAAAGAGGAAGTTTATCTACACTGAACTCTTTTATAGGGACTCTTTTGCTGAAAGTCCTAAAGTCAGCCATGGTGAAGGCTTCTGGAGAAGGTCAGTGAAGACTTTTCTGTGGGCCTGGTACAGAGGGGGAGGACGGGAAGGCGGGGCTGAGAGCAGCTCCGTGGATCTGAGAATGAGGAAGGAGAGATGTCAAAGAATAATGGGAAAGGGGTTGGGGATTTTCCTAGCAACGAAGACTTGAGCAGTAGAACAGGTAGAGCAGAGGGGAAGTTGGGAGTGAGTATCCCCAAAAGCCTGCGAGGGACTTTAAATTCTTAGTAACCTGTTTCCAGTGATGACAAAGCCACTTTAAAGGCCATTTTCACCAGATCTTGAATAGGGGTCTGAGGGCTGTCCTCAGCTGGTTTGAGCTTTGGGTCAGCTGGTAAGAGGACCTGGTGGGACCGGTGTGGGCACTGACAGGAGAAGAGAGGAGTGAGTGGGTGGAGGGGTACCTCAGTACCTGCCAGCTCAGCAAGGGGGCAATGGTCTGAGAACCGGCGGAGGTCTGGGTTTCTGATCGAGTAATTGGAGGGGAGAAATCAGGTTGCTGAGGTGGGGGTGACCGCAGAGTGTGGGGCAGAAGGCTGAGGGTGAGGATCTGCTGGAGAAGCAGAGTTCAGGGTGGGAGCGAAGGAGAGAAAGGCCTCCACATGGGGGATCTCCTTCCACCCTTTTGAGCGCTCGCAGAAGTTAAAAAGTCACGCAGAACTTGAGGATCTAGAGACCCCTCTGGGGCCATCGGTTTTGGTGGTCTAATTGGTAACATGGCCAATTCTGTGCACTGAATTTGATGAGGAGTTTGGGTTTGATGTCCGGAGTGAGGGACAACCGGGTGAGGTTAGCCAGGAGGCATTTGAGAGGGGAATCAGCGGAGAGGGAAGAAGAGGCTCCCAGGATGACTCTCGGCAGGAAGAGAAGAGGTGAGTGGCCTGGACTGGAACAGAATTGGGTTGAGTTTCCTTCAGGCGTCCCTGAAAGGAGAGGTCAACCAAAGAGACCCGGGAGAGCCAGGGCCGGGAGGGCAAATGAGTCGTCACCCAGGAGCCCAACCAGCGAGACCCTGAGGCCAGAAGTCACAGACCACCTGACGTCAGGGTTTTTCCAGGAGAGGAGAAGGAGAGAGTCAGGGATGCCTATTCTTCTGTCCCTTATAGCTCATCAACCATGAGATGGGCATCCAGAGAGTCCACCGTAACTGTGAAAGT